ATATATATATATATATATATATATATATGTTGATGCAATCATGTAATAATCTTGTAATTATAATGTAATGTCATAATCCGATAATAAATTTGGAATCGTGACGTAACGATGTGACCGTGACATAATCAAACCAATAATGATAACTGATAACTCATGAAATCATCTACTCACCCTTCGAACGCATGCTGTAACATCTCCTCTCCCACGTCCGAGTAAACCTTCGCCTGTGATGTGAACGTTAGATCATCCGGCTGCAAGCAAGGCAAGCGTTATCTGTCGGTTAGTTACAGCCGCCAAGGAGGTTTTTGCCCCTGTTCGTTCGTGTGTTGGTTTGTTTGTCTGTCAACGGGATATCTCAAAAAGTTACGGACGGATTTTGATGCAATTTGATGAGATTTTGGTGGTGATCCGGATCCAGATCTGGATTCAGAAATTTAAAAAAAAATTTGTGGGGAAGACTTCGGACGCATTCAAATTCATAAAAAAAAATCATTAATCTTTTCAAATTTCTGAAAATTTCATCAAACTATATTGGGTGTACCAGCAAAATGGGGGGACTGTTACGCTGTGGCTTGATGTTAACGTCCACTCAGTGAGCAAAACACGAGGGCGGAATAATGGAATCATGGATGCACAATGATTACTCATAGATCATGAATAATAATCCAATTTATTATTTTCCGTTAGTTAGTTAAAACATCAGGCCTCGAATTTCGATTTAGGGCAAGACCACTTTGACCTTGACTCTCATCATTAACACTCAAAAACAAAACGAAACAAAAACAAAAACAAATAAAATACGAAATTTATGAATTTGAAAAAAGGGAGAAGTACATGTATCGTATTAGTACTATTTCATTAGTACTTTCACAGGTTTTTTAAGTGAAAGGGCACAACCGCCAACCAAGTAAAAGGCACAGCCACAAAGCAGTAAACAATGCGGGGGCCTCGTGGCCAGTGACCGGGGGCATCACGGCAAATGGCTGCATGGCCGCCGTGTGATTCGAGCGCTGAGACAGCCTAACGCTCATAGGGTCTATGCCCCCCCCCCAGGGTACTGCCGGAACGTACCCTGGGTACGGTCCGGTATACCGGAACGTACCCTGGTCACTATTTGATATGGTTAGGGTTAGGATTAGGGTTAGGGATAAGGTAAGGGTTAGGGTTCGGGTTAGGGTTAGGGAGTAGGCGACTCCCTAGACTAGTTAGTGGAATAGACGAGGTACGGTCCGGCATATTAGATAGTACCAGGGTACGTTCCGGTATACCGGACCGTACCCAGGGTACGTTCCGGCAGTACCCCGGGGGACATAGACCCTCTCAGACATACTAACGTCCACACACTGAGCAAAGCACGAGGGCGTAAATAATGTAATCATGGATGCACAATGATTACTCATAGACGAATAATAATCCAATTAACCGGAGAAAATTAATGAATGGGCAGCATCAGCAAGATGTGTTGAACGCAGCGAGGCAAGGGGAAGTATGGGGCTGCAGTCTTGAACGCAGCGAGGCAAGGGGAAGTATGGGGCTGCAGTCTTGAACGCAGCGAGGCAAGGGGAAGTATGGGGCTGCAGTCTTGAACGCAGCAGCGAGGCAAGGGGAAGTATGGGGCTGCAGTCTTGAACGCAGCAGCGTGACAAGGCGGAAGCTATGGGGCTGCTACGTCTTGTCAAACGCAGCGCGGCAGGGGAAGTATGGGGCTGCAGCTCGTCTTTGAACCGCAGCGCAGGCAAGGGGAAGATGGGCTGCTTTGAAGTCCTTGAACGCAGCGAGGCATAGGGGAAGTATGGTGGCTGCAGTTCTTGAACGCAGGTGCAGGCAAGGGAAGTATGGGGCCTGCAGTCTGAACGCATGCGGCGAGGCAGGGAAGTATGGGGCTGCGAGTCTTGAACGGCAAGGCGAGGCAAGGGGAAGTAATGGGGCTCAGTCTCGAACCAGCGCAGGAAGGGCAATACTGGGGCTGAGTCTGAATACGGCACGAGGCAAGGGCAGTATTCGGGGCTGCAGTCTTGAAACGCAGGCGAGCAAGGGTGAAGTATGGGACTGGGCAGTCTTGAAGCGCAGCGAGGCAAGGGAAGTATGGGCTGCAGTCCTGAACGCAGCGAGGCAAGGGAATATGGGGGCTGCAGTCTTGAAGCGCAGCGAGGCAAGGGAAGTATGGGCTGTCAGTCTTGAACGCAGCGGAGGCAAGGGACAGTATGGGGCTGCAGTCTTGGAAGCAGGAGCAAGGGGAAAGTATGGCGGCTGCAGTCTTGAACGCAGCGAGCGCAAGGGTGAAGTATGTGGCTGCAGTTCTTGAACGCCAGCAGCGAGGCGAAGGGAATATGGGGCTGCACGCTTGAACGCAGCAGCGAGGCAAGGGGAAGTATGGCTGCAATCTGAACGCAGCGAGGCTCAGGGGACAGTATGGCGCTGCAGTCTGAACGCAGCAGCGGAGGCAAGGAAGTATGGGGCTCTGCAGTTTGAAGCAGGGAGAGCAAGGGAAGTTAGGGGCCCGCCAGTCTTGAACGGCAGCGAGGCTAAGGGGAAGTATGGGGCTGCAGTCTGAACGCAGTGCGAAGCAAGGGGGAGTATGGGGCTCGCAGTCTTGCATACGCAGCGAGTTATTCAAGGGAAGTATGGGGGCTGCAGTCTGAAGCAGCGAGCCAAGGGAAGTAATTTGGCTGCAGTCTATGCAACCCAGCGAGGCAAGCGGAATATGGGGCTGGCAGTCCTTGATACGCAGCGGGCAGGCGGAACGTATGGGCGTGTGCAGTTTTGAACGCAGCACGCGAGGGCAAGGGGAGTATGTGGCTGCAGTCTTGAATGCCAGCGAGGCAAAGCGAGGAAGTGTAATGGGCTGCAAGTCTGAAGCCGCAGCGAGGCAAGGCGGAAGTATTGGCTGTCAGTCTGAACTGGCAGTCGAGGCAAGGCGGAAGTATGGGGCGCTCCCCCCCCCTCTTTGGGAACGCAGGCGACGCTGAGCCGCAAGGTGGAAGTATAAGGGCTGCCAGCTTTCGAATCGCAGGCGAGGGCGAGAGCGGGAAGTATGGGGCTGCAGTCTGCGACACGACAATTCCGAGGCTAGAGGGACTAATGGAGGGGCTGCATGTCTTGAACGCGCGACGGCTACACGGGATATCATTAATTTTCTCCGGTAAATTAGGAAATATAATAAAAGTATGGGACCTCTGCAGTTCTTGAACTGCAGCGAGGCTAAGGGGAATATGGGCTGGCCAGTCTGAACGGCAGCAGCGAGGCAGGGAAGTATGGGCTGCAAGTCATTGAACGAGCGAGGCAAGGGGAAGTAATGAAGGTGCAGTCTGGAACGCAGCGAGCACGGGAAAGTATGGGGCTGCAGTCTTGAACGCAGCGAGGCAAGGGAAGTATGGGCTTCAGTCTTAACGCAGCGAGCAGGAAGTATGGGGCTGCAGTCGTTGAACGCAGCGAGGCCAAGGAGGAAGTATGGGGCTGCAGTCTTGAACGGCAGCGAGGCAGGGGAAGTATGGGGCTGCAGTCCTCTGAACGCCAGGCGAGGCAAGGGGAAGTATGGGGCTGCAGTCTTCGACCTGCAGCGAGGCAAGGGAAGTATGGGGCTGCAGTCTTGGAACGCAGCAAGGCCAGGGGAAGTATGGGGGCTGGCAGTCTTGAACGCAGCGCAGGCAAGGGAAGTATGGTGGCTGCAGTCTTGAACGCAGCAGCGGAGGCAAGGGGAAGTATGGGGCTGCAGTCTGAGACGCAGCGAGGCCAATGGGGGGAAGTATGGGGCCTGCAGGTCTTGAGACACAGCCGAGGCCAAGCGGGAATAGGGGGCTGCAGTTCTTGAAGCGCAGGGCGAGGCAAGGTTGATAGTATCGGGGCTGCGGTCTTGAAAGCACAGCCGAGGCAAGGGGAAGTATTGGGGCGGCTGTCAGTCCTAAAACAGCGAGGCAAGGGGAAGTATGGGCTGCCCACACCGTCTTGCACGCG